TAGGAACTGAAGAGATGGCTCAGCAGTTAAGAGCACTGGCTGCTCTTTTGAAGAATGCGGTTCGATTCCTAGCACCTACATGGCAGCTAACAACCATTTGTAATGCGAGTTCCAGGGGTATCTGATGCTGTTTTCTGACCTCTGTGGGCATTGCACGACACAGGTGCACTTATACACATGAAGGCAATACACTTGTACACATAACTAAAAATAATAAATATCAAAAAATAAAAGTAGAAGTTTAAAGCTGTATGTAGTTACTGGCACAATTCTTTTGATTTGTATGGTTTTGGATATTAAAGTGGTCCATATTAACATGGTCTCATCTGTTTTTTGGCAGGGGACGCCTGGCTGGGTTTTTTTGGCCTTTTTGAGACAGGGTCTCCCTGTAGCCCCAGCTGGTCTGGAACTCACTATGTAGACCAGGCTGGCCTTGAATTCACAGAGACCCACCTGCCTTTGCCTCCAGTGCTGGGATTAAAGGCGTGTGCCACCATGTCTGGCTAAACTTAGTTCTAATTTTCAACTTGGCACAGCCTAGAGTCATCTGAGAGGAAATCATCAGTTGAAGAATTGCCTAGATCCGGCTGGCCTATGGGCATGTCTGTGGGGGGTTGTCTTGTTTGTTAACAGAGGTGGGGCAGCCAAGCCCACAGTGGGCAGCCCCCTTCTTAGGCAGGTGGTCCTGGGACATATAAGAATGCTAGCTGGCTGGGTGTGGTGACACACCCCTTTAATACCAGCACTGGGGAGGCAGAGGCAGGAGGATCTCTGTGACTTCAAGGCCAGCCTGGTCTAGATCTACACAGAGAGCTCCAGGCCAGCTGGGGCTACAGAGAGACCCTGTCTCTTTTTTAAAAAAAAAAAAAAAAAAAAAAAAAAAAAAAAAAAAACAGGCTAGCAGGCATGAGCCAGCAAGCAGCATTCCTCTGTGGGTTTTGCTTGAACTGCTCGGACTCCCCGGGAGCTGAAGTAAACCGTCTCCTCTCCAGGCTGCTTTTGCTCAATGCTTCATCAAAGCAGGAGAGGAAAGTAGGATGCAGTGTTTGCAAACGGCGCCTAAAAAACGCTCCAGTAATAAACATTTTTTTTTTTAAATTTTAAAAAAGAGCTGGAGAGATGGCTCAGCAGTTAAGAGCACTGGCTGCTCTTGCAGAGGACCCAGGTTCTATTCCCAACACCCACATGGCAGCTAATCATCTGTAACTCCAGTTCCAGGGGGATTCGACACCTTCTTCTGACCCCTGGGGGCATTGCACACATGTGGTGTCTTACATACATGCAAGCAAAACACTCATATACATAAAATAATAAAATATTTTTTAAAAATTAAAAAAAGCTCCTGGGGGACTAGAGAGATGGTTCAGTGGTTAAGAGCTCCACGTGCTCTTTCAGAGGACCCAAATTTGGTTTCCAGCACCCACATGGTGGCTGACAACCATCCAGTTCCAGAGGATCCGATACGATACCCTCTTCGGCCTCTGTGGGCATTGCACAACATGGGTGCACTTACACACATGCAGGCAATACACTCAGATGCATAAAATAAATACTAAATTTTTAAAAATCTTTTTTGAGACAGGGTCTCCTGTAGCCCCAGCTGGCCTGGAACTCACTATGTAGACCAGGCTGGCCTTAAACTCACAGAGATCGGCCTGCCCCTGCCTACTGAGTGCTGGGATTAAAGGCATTCCCAGCAAAACAAATATTTTTTAAAGAGCTACTGGGAAGGAGCTGTAGTGCACAGGCTTAGATGGTAAACAGCACTGAGGAAAGATGGACCAAGCTCTCCCTGCAGTGTGAAAAGACCAGGCACTCAGCAACAGGGAGCATTGGCTAGAGGTCAGCTTAGGGGACAGAACTTACAGCTCCCTCAGTTTTGTGCCTATAACTGTCACCTAAAACACACACACACACACACACACACACACACACACACACACACACACACGCAGAGGCCAAGCGCCGTGGTGCACTCCCTTAATCCCAACACTCGGGCAGAGCTATGTGAGATCAAGACCAGGCTGGCCTTGATCTCACATCAGACCAGCTGGGGCTACTGGGAGACCGTCTCAAAAACAACAAAACAAAAAACCCTTTACACAGCCATCAGAGACATGGCTCACTAGTGAAGTGCTCACCCAACATACAAAGTCCTGGGTTCAATCCCCAATATAGCAATAAATAAATAATAAAGGCTTTTAGGCAGATGCATGCAGACACCAGAGTTCCAGCAATCAGGAGGTGGAGACAGGAAAATAAAGAGTTCAAGGCCACCCTGGGCCATACAAGACTGTGCCAGCAATCAGGAGGTGGAGACAGAAAAATAAAGAGTTCAAGGCCACCCTGGGCGATACAAGACTGTGCCTCAAAAACCAAAACAGCGGTAGTTTTTCTGTTCAGAAACTTCCTCAGACACAGTCCATGTTTTTAAAGCCCCCAGCTCTCTCTGAGAGTCTCTTTCCCTTCCCTACCCACATCTGCACCTCTGGGCTGTTAACAGGCACGGATTACACGTGTACTTCCTTCAAGGCGAAACCAGACAAAGTGCAGGGACTTCTCCCATTTGATTTTGTTTTTTTGAGCCAGGGTCTCACTACGTAGCCCAGGCTAGCTTGGAACTTTCCATGTAGACCAGGCTGGCCTCAAACTCAGAGATTCGCCTATCTCTGCCTCCTGAGCACTAGGATTAAAGGCGTGTGCCTCCACATCCACCTTGACCTCCCCGGTTACAAAGAGGGCAAGAATGGGCTCACTTTGGATCTTCCCTGGAGGTCACAGGCTGCTGCCTGGTGCCAGCTGTGGACTGTGAAGCCAAGATTGGGGAAGGTCTGAAAACCCAAATGTCATCCTTGTGCTCCTGGCTGTGGTCACAAGATATGCAGTGACCCTGAGCCCCCACAAGAGGTCACACTGCAGCCTCAGAAAGGAGAGGACTCAAAATGACCAGTGCCAATGAGATGACTCAGTGCAAAGGTACTTGCTACCGAGTCTAATAACCAGCATTCAATCCCTAGAACCCGCCTGGTGGAGAGATGGCACATGTGTGCTTGCCCCCCACCTCATGCTAATAAAGATTAAAAGAAATAATTTTTAAGCCCCATCTTGGAGAATGGGGAGCTACCTAGACCCCAGAGGAAGTGGGCTGCCTAGGTGCCAGATGGCAGCTCCATCAGCCCCATCTGCAATCAGCCTCAGCCCCTGAAATTACCCAGCACTGCCCTCGATACCTGTCTGCCATTCCCCACAGGACAGAAAAGCAGCCCAAGTTCAGGGTCACAGGGAAATGGCAGGCAAAGTCACCTGCTGATTTACATCTTCAGTGTTTCAGGGGGTTAGCCCAGGCTACTGCCTCTGCTGGGCTGCTGCCACCACTGGGGTCATTCCTGCCCAGCCTGATCTTGGACATGCCTGCTGGTGTCTCTGGACACCAGTGGCACTAGGCTTGAAGTCTAAGCTGTGCCAGACGTCCTGATTCAGCCGTGCATTGGGGGCCAAGTGAAGGTAACATGCGCTTGGGGTCTTCAGGAAGCAAACCTTGACTACAAAGCTGTTGCTATCTCCTGCTTACTGGTGGTCAGAGAATCCCAGCCCTTCAAGGTGGCTGTGACTCTGCAGCCCTCTGGTTTATGTCCGCTGCAAAGCTGATGCTCCAGACTCTGGGTTTACTGTCCTTGTTGGCTATGGTCCTGGATGTGCTCCCTGCCACCAGGCAAGACTCAGCTCCACCATTCCTCAAACTCAGCTGCCACCACGCCCAGCTGTTGATACTTGATTTTTAAATGACTGGTTGAGATAAACCACTTAAGAAATAAAATTTCTAAGCCAGGAGTGGTGGCGCACACCTTTAATCCCAGCACCTGGGAGGCAGAGGCAGGTGGATCTCTGTGAGTTCAAGGCCAGCCTGGTCTACATAGTGAGTTCCAGGACATCTGGGGCTACAGGGAGACCCTGTCTCAAAAAGACCAAAAAAGAATCCTAGACGATTTTTTCTTTCCTTCAAGGCCAGCCTGGTCTACATAGTGAGTTCCAAGACATCTGGGGCTACAGGGAGACCCTGTCTCAAAAAGACCAAAAAAGAATCCTAGACGATTTTTTCTTTTCTTCAAGGCTGGGGCTGTAGCTTAGCAGCAGGCACTTGCCTAGCATGCGGAGCCTCTGGGTTCCAACCCCCTCACCCCACCATCTTTGTGAAAACAAAGCCATTCCAGACAGCTATGAGGAGGGCACCACATTCAGCCAGCGCCAGACGTGTATTTCTGTAGTCTCTTCCTGACGGGAGGCCACTGGTCACTTCGAGTGGCTCCAGCATGTTCCACCTGCAGAGGCTCAGCCCTGGGGCAGAGGCAGGGCCAGGGCCCCACAGTAGCCACAGCCAGCAGTAAAGTGTGCTGCTGCTCGAGGGATGTGGTCCATCCATTCTGCCCTCCTCACAGGCCCACAGCAGACAGTCCTGAAGAGCCAATTAACTGCATGCTTTTCCATTGTCTGTGTATGTCTGTATTATATGTACATTATAATGTGCATGCATACCTGTGCACACGTATGTGGAGGTCAAAAGTTGGTATCCAGTGTGGTCAAATTTAGTGCTGTTCTTACATTTTACATAAACATTTTCCAAATCCCATGATACAACCATGGTCCATGTAGACCGGCTCTGGGCCCTGCGTGTCCCCTCAGGGTGGCTGGGGTGCTGCCTTCCAGGCTATCTTCAGCCCCCTGGGTTGGCATCAGAGTTCCCACCTTCTCCATATGGCTGTGATGCCTTGGCAGTGGCGAACCTGCAGAATTCTGTCCACCACGGGCACTACTGCACCTCCACTGACCCTCGGGGGAGCAGGGTGGAGACGCTCACAGGATGCAGGCCAGCCCTCACCTAGGCTCTGAGCAGTCACCATGACCCTCCACCATCTGGAAAAGCTGAACCCACCCAATCCCAGCCACCCTCCCGGGCTTCCACTCCCATGTGAATCACACCCCAGAGAAACAGATCACAAGGCTCAGAGCAAGGCTTCAAAACCATTTACTCAAAACTGAAAGGAGGAAGAACCACACGTCCTGGTGACAACTTCACAGGGGACACCGGGGCCAGGGACAACAGCAGCTGTTCTTTCCAGGCCCTCTGTGACCCTCAGGCAAACCTAAGCTGACCTGAAAGGTCTGTCAAGAACTGTGTCTGGGCCGGGGCTTGGAGGCGCTCCAGCAAACCCACATTTTCCAAACAGGCTCGTGAGCCCAAACACTAGCGAAAGCGAAGCTGGGCTGAGAAGCTCCGGCTGGTTTCTGTGAACACAGAAGGACCCACAGACTTCCCTGCAGCTGTCTTCAGGGTTGCTCCGCCCACCAAAGGCTGACCACATGGGCCATGGACTGTGAATGAGTCAAATCCCCACAGTACCAAGCCACACCCTCCTGCTGCAGAAGCCTCTGTAGGACAGACCCTACCCAGATCCCCAGCAGAACCGCAGACCCAGCCTATGATAACACAAAAACCTGAGGAGGCTGACAGAGGTGAGGGTTACACAGGGACACTTTCCAATCAGGACAAGGGGTCAGGGGAGAGGTAGGAGCCGGGGGGGCAGGGCAGCCTCACATTACAGGACTGGATGCTTAGTGTCGCCTGTGCCTCACTGTCTTGAAGAAGAGAGTCAGAATCTGGGAAATCAGATGACCTAGAGTTCATGGGGTGAGGTCTGAGGAGGGTGGTTCCTCTCCACTGCTGCCCATGAGCACTAACAAGTGCGCACAGGAAGGTAGGGTGAGAGCTTACAGACCACAGAGCAAACTGCTGGTGGGCTGGGGAGAGCCAGTCAGCAGGTGGGAGTCAGTGCCGTCTAGAACACAGTGCCCAGCTCCATGTTCTTGGTAAGTCTAACAGACACGTGCCTCCAAGCCCACTGTGCATGAAGTGGGGAGGGACTGGCTGGCACAGCATCTGACCAAGGCCAGCCACCGCTAAGCCACCCTTGCTGCAGGCAGCATGCAGGGTCAAGGAGGACCCCGGGAAGAGGGGCGAGGTTGCTGCAGAGGAGACGGGTCAGACCTTGAACACATGCCACTGGCAGCCAGCAGCAACCAGGAACCCAGCACAGGGTCAGGACCAAGGGAAAAAGGAGTCCAGAACTCCCACAAGACTCCCAAAGCCATTCACACACCACAATCAATGTCAAAGGTCTGAGCAATGGCGGCCAGCACCCTGACACTGTGGGGCTTGCCCACATCAGGGACTAGACACAGACATTTGCAACGTCCTCAGCAGAGATCTCCAGCCCACACAGACACATCCTCTGGAACCTTGCACCTGACCTCAATCACACGATCTCCACACACAGCAGAGCTTGGTCAAAAATGCAGACCCTGGAAGGTCTTCCCACCAACTTCCTACACAGCCTCAGCTGCAAAGCGGCAAAGTGCCGTGTGGGGAGGACCAGGGATGCCACCCACCTGCCACCATGGAACACCGTGGACGTGGCTCTGCTCTCTACACTGGGAGCACAGGCTCCTCTGAAGCTGTTATCACCTATATCCAACAGCGATGTCAACCCTTACCAACCCTCACCTGCAGAGGACGGGGCACCATGGTCAAGGCTGGTGACTTATGGAACCTGCACATGTCCCTACTCAACCGGAAGGGGCTGAGGCCTAGGACAGAAAGCCACATTCTCCGAACTGGAGGATCCTAGTGGCCAAGAGGAGCCGGTGTGCAGATAAGGCAGTGCCTTCCTAGCTACTGGCTGTCACCCAGGCCATAACCACCAGGACAGACCTACAGATCCTGGATCCCACACACCAGGAGCCAGAAGCCAGGCTAGTAGCCATGGCAATGCCATCAGTAGGAACCACTCAGACACCAAACACTAACTAGAAGGTATGACCCCTGAACCTGAGACCTTTCTTACTCTGAAGTAGTAGCTCTTGATATGCTTCTTAGTGCTAAGGGGACAGCTCTGCTGGCCTTCCCCCCACCCCCACCCCCCACAAGCCTCGGGCTCTGGGGGAGAAATGCATCCTCTTGATTTTCTGAGAGCACAGCGAGGCCTGAAGAGCCGGCCACACACCCAGCAATCAGTCTCCACTGTCCCTGAGGCTGCATGTCTCATCACCACTGTTCGGGACCTGCCTCATCTGCACAGGAGAAAGTCAGGACTAACAAGGACGGAAGGTGACAAAAGGTCTGAGCTCTATTCTGCAAAGATGCTAGAGGTTGGGACCCAGCCTGGCAGTCGGCTGCAGACCCCACTACATACCTGGCGGTAAGCCAGTGTCCCCAAGCCTGGCTAGGCAGGACATGACGACTGTTGTCCCGAAGCTCTCGTAATCTGCTCCTGGAGCAAGGGGAGAAGGTGCTGGGTACAGGGGCTGGAGCAAAGGTCAGTCAGGGAGGACATGTGCACCCTCGTGTCTCTGTGCAAAGCCCCACGTGCAGCTACCTTCCAGGGTCCCTCACAAACAGGATGTGCTCTGAGCAGCCAGCCTGACCACTTGAAGCAACCAGGAGGGAAGGTAGCCTAGAGGTCCACTAAAAGAGTGGAGAGCCACAGGCTGAGGAGGTGCCAAAGGGAGTTCCCAAGGCTCTGGGCTCCGGGTTTCTGGCCTTCAGGAGACACTAACGGTGGCAAGACCTCAGCCAGGAATCACCAGCAGAGATATCAGAATGGCCCGGCACCCAGGGTCAGTGGAGTTCTCAGTTGGCGTGGCCTCCATGGGCACTGCCACACAGAGCTATGACTCTAGAAAACCGTCACCTGCACACACCATGAAACAAAGCCTACAGGGACACAATGTGCTATCAGACCAGGGCAGGGCCTGCAAACAGGAAGGGCAGCTCTCTACAGAGCAAGTCTTGTCTGCTGGACAAGCAAGTGGCATGGCAGCTTGGCAGGTGCGACATGGGCCAGAGGCCACCAGGATAGATGAGTGACAATCCTTGCTGACCTCTTAGCAGCAGCCCCATCTCACTAGGGAAAAGGGTCACAGTGAAAATCCAAGGAACTGAAAATCCACTTAGGGTCCCACACCTGACATGCTGCCAACTCCACATGGTCACCATGTTCCCTGTCTCTACCTGACCACATCCAACTGTGACTACTCGGCTCATGCAGGGGGACCAAGTGCAGCAGAACAGCTCCCATGATGCATTTCAGCTGCACAGGGGAAGGATGGAGGCTGTGTCATAGCCCTCTCTGAGGACACGGCACTCTCAGCTTGATTTTGTGTGTCAGGGCCACTCAGCTAGACAGACCCCTCCCGCCCCCCGCTCCTTCCTCTTTCCTTTTTTTCTCACATGCTCAGCCTTCCCCTTCACAGCTCCCGAAAATCAAATGTACAATATGTTACACGCTATACATAAAGTGTCTGGGGCCGCTGGGGCCCTAGTGAGGAGGCGCGTGTTCATTTCCAAAGTACATGCTGCTTCCACCCCAGCAGGCCCTGGCCTACGCCGCTCGGTGCGGACGCGACACGACGGTCAGGAGGTGAGGGACTGGATGTTCTTCAGCATCTCATCGAAGGCCTGTGGCGATGGTGCATCCGCGTTCTGGAAGGCAGCCTGGACCCGGCTGTACAGGCTGAAGGACTTTAGTTCCAGCCAGAGGAACCCAAAGCGGTCCTCATCAAACAGGACGAAGACACCGGGTGTGCGCTCCGGGCTGGTGAAGCCGTGGCCAGCGATGAGGCCTGTGCCATAGAAACTGGAGAGACAAGGGAGAACGTCAGGAGGGGCCTCGGGAGCACTCCCACCACGCAGGACGCCCAGAGTGACACTGCACAAGCACTACCACATATGCCAACCTCAGCGGCCAGCAAGTCTGCAGTACCCACGAAGGGCCTGACTTTGCAGGGCAGCTCAGAGGGGGCTGGTCGAGCTCTGCTGACAACAGGCAGCAGACAGGAGTGCGACCACTTGGGCAGTCTGTGCAAGAGCCCAGGATTTCCCATTGCGGCCCTGAGTACACTGCGACGGCTGAAACTGGAGCGCCAGGCGCCACCCAGGAATCCACTCCAGAGAACAATCTTCACAAAGCAGGCAGAGAGGTCAAGACTCACTTCCAGATCGTTCCATCACCTTATACGATTCAGATACAACAGAGACGCAGGCTGCTGTAAGGCCTAGATCTGCATCAGAGTGAAACACAGTTCTTTCCTCACGACTAAGAGCTCCCAACAGGTGAGCATCTGGGGACTGCCCTGGGATCTCCTCATGCCCCTGCCCGTACCCCAGGCATGTGCCCTGCACTGCTCACCTAGAGCCCAGGCCACAGGGGCTTCCATGTCTGCAGCAGGCACCCGCCCTCCGGGGCCATGGGAGCCCATCCTTCCACAGAGGCTGGGGCTGCCTGATGGTTTAGCCAGGGAGGGGCCTGGACTGCCCTGGTCATGGGCCACGTCATGTGCAGAGAGCTGCACGTGAGCCCTAAGCCACTGGAGACGTCAGGACTGCAGTGCTTATGCAGTCAGCACAGCCTCCTCTAGTACAACATCCAGCTACAGCTATACGGGAAGGAGTTCTGTACAGACCCACAGCAGAAACTGCACCCTGTCCCGTGACCATCCTCACCAACATGGAACAGGGCTGACTCCGCCAGAGCCATTCAGATGCCCAACTCTCTGAGAGTAGCCGGATGGGACGCACAGTCACCCTACGATGTCGGCTCTACTGGGGAATCCAACACATCATCACAGGTGCCACAGCAGCCGCCAGCGGCAGAAGGAAAACAGTCACTTGACAAGGCAGAGCAAAGTAACTGACAGGAGACTCACGGACTTACCCTCGGCTGGCCCCCAGAGCAACTGCCCTGCACGAATTAAGATGGTGGCACAGTCTAGACTTCTGTCTAGTTCGGCAGCCACCAGCCAGGAACTCTGGCCGGTGTCATCATGGAATGGATCTTTCATTTTCATTCAATTTTAGCTGACTTACAGCATCAGAGTACGTGGGACAGGCCCTTCCTCTTCTACACAGAATGGCCCAAATGGCATGGTGGCCCCAACGCGGGCTTTGAACAAAGGCCAGAGCTAAAGCCCCTTAAGAGGCAAAAGTCACGCGAGGTGTGAGCTGGCGCCCAAGAGACCGACTATGGTCAGTGGCCCAGGGCCTGTGGGGTGCAGAGGGAAGACAGCAGTGCCCACCTCTCCCTCACCACGGTGAAGCCACCAAGGCGGGCCAGTTAGAGGCAGCACAGAGCAGCTGGCAGGGGAAGAGGGACGGGACCGAAGGGCTGTGCTCAGAACCGTGCTCACCAAGCAGGATGGCGCCACCCACAGGACACACAGGCACGCTGCAGGCTCTGGTGCCCCCGGGGAAGGGACTCTGCACTGCCTACCTGCAAAGTTGTGGGGTCCTTTACTTGGCTAACCAACCACGTCGTTACCATGCTTCGTGACAGCACACGGCGCTACTGTGCTATCATGAGGCACCTGTGGAGGCCCTGCATCCTGGAAGCTCTGGGGAACCCCATGGGTGGTCCCTCTAGAAATGCCCCACCATGGGCTCAGGGTTTGAACATTGGGGTGCATGCAAGGAGGCTGTGGAACCCTCCAGAGGTGAGATCTAGCTGGAGGCTAAGGTGACTGGAGAAGCCTCTGAAAGCTACAGCTGACTCCTGGTTCTGGTCAGTGCTCTGGTCCATCACCACGTGAAGAAGGAACATGGCCCCACCACGATGAGCTGAAATCTCTTTGCAACCACGAGCCAAAAATAAACCTTAGCAAGATGACTTAGTGGCAAAGGCACTGCCTTGAAGCCTGGCGATCTGAGTGGACCCTCAGAACCCAGGTGAAGGAAAAGAGAAGCAGTTCCCAAACGTGTCCTCTGACCTGCATGTGTACACCACGGCACACATGCCCGACACACACTAATGAACCTTTAGCTGCTTCCATCAGGTATCTGGGGCATAATGGCAGAACTGTGACTACACAATGAATGGACAAGAGGCTCCACTCAGCCAGGTATGAAGCAGGATCAGAACCACAGGCCAAGCCAGTAATACCCTCCAGTCTCAGGAGCACCCCACCTTACCAGGAGTGCCCCCCCACTGTGCAGCTGTGAGAAATGGGGTCCCTCCACCCTCTGGGAGTGCCCCCCAACTGTGCAGCTGTGAGCTGGCCCTTGTCCTCACCAGAGCCTGCAGGTGCGAGGATAGTCCTCATTCCTCGAGCTCACACCCACGGGCAGCACGAACGGCTGCCCCTGCCCAGATGAGGCTGGCTGCTTGGCGGCTGCGACTCCACGGCCAGGCTCTCTGCTGTCCTCAGCTAGCGAGCCGTCGGACCCCCTGGCTGACTGTGGCTCCTGGGGTGAGGCAGGGCCCTCACCAGCCTCCTGCTGCTGCTCCTGACGCACCTGCTCTCGGACCTCCAGGACGATTCTCGAGAGCTCATTGAAGTTGCGAAGGTTCTCCACATCCGGCAGCTGGATGCGGTGCCGCAGGTCGATCTCCACTGTCTGCTGTCCAGCAGGAATGTTGGGGTCACCCTGCAGAGAGGGCAGGTGGGCGTCAGTGGGACTGAGACCCACAGAAAACCACACAGCCTACAGGCAGGCCCACCTCAGGCCCAGGAGCACTCTGGCTCTGCCAGACTCACGAGGTGAAGGCAGCCTACAGACGCCCTTTACAGCAGGGCATGGCGGCACACACCTTTAGTCCCAGCACTCAGGAAGGCAGAGGCAGGTAGACTTCAAGATAAGCCTGGTCTACATAGTCATCCAGGCCAGCTGGGGCTACAGGGAGACCCTGTCTCAAAAAGACACCCTTTACAAATCAGCACCCGGAACAGTGGCCCCATGGGCGATGGCACAAGTGACTGACCACGTGCCCACTGAATGTGTAGGTCCATACACATGCTCAGCTACGCTTAGACTCCAGATGAGACTGACTCACCTGTGAAGCCCATGGACTAGCCCAGGGTCTAGCAAAGGACAGCCCAGGCCTGTCTGCCCAGAACACAGTTCCTGAGCCTGACTATACAGCTCCCTCCCCACATCTCCATGGGACCAGGAACTAAACCCTAGGGGAGGGGCTGGGGGAATACCCTACCATGTCAAGTGGGATCTGATTCTGAGTCTTATCATCCTGTTCCACATGGAGCTTCTCCCAGAACAGAGGGCCACTAGGCCATGGGAGCCCCATACAGAGGCTATGCAGCCCAGGGGACATCAGCAACCCTCCCCCAGGCCCCGGGCAACTCCTAGGACAGGTGAAGGTGGTGGGAAAAGTGGTCTTGGCAAAGTGCAGTCCACATACAACCTTTCCTAGCCCAGGGGAACTTTATCTGAGGCTGAAAAGCCAGCCCGGCCCAGGATAGAGCCAAGGCCAACATGGGCTACAGGGATGTCTTCCGAGACACAGGGTCTCCCCAGGCTCTAGCTAACCCTGAACCTGGGAGGTCGGGTCATCAGGGCTGGAGGAGCCTCAAGAACAGAATGCTCCAGCTCCTGGGGGCCAGCGTGGGTGACCTGGGCCCACCCAGGACAGCAAGGTGCAGTGGGCACTCATTCACTGAGTCCTGTGTCTCTGGAGCATGGTAGAGCTGCATGTACTGGGTCAGCAGGTGGCCGCTGAGGCCAGCAGGTGGCTGTGAGGACAGGGTCCTGCTCACCGTGATCTTGGTGCCCCTAGCACGTGGGCCGTGGAAGCTGAGCATCACAATCTCCAGGCCGTGGCTGCCGTAGGTACCCTTGAAGAGGCCTGGCTTGATGAGGTCATCGGGGTGGCTGGGCGGGAGGTAGATCCGGCGATACGTCAGGCAGTTGCTACAAGAGAGTGGGCAGAAGCACAGGGCTCAACAGGTATCCTCCTGGCCTGGGCAATCACTTGGTTAAGCCCCTCACCCCTCCCCCCCGGCCCTCGTTCACGGCACCACGCATCCCCAGGGCTTAGTGGGGCCAGCACACCAGCACAGTGCAACTTGCCATGACCCTTGGGAAAGGCACCTATGCCCACATCACTGTGAGGGGACATGCCCAGGCATGGAACCAGAAGCCATGAGGAAGGCCAAGTAAGACCTAAGCCTCCCAAGGCCACTGGCTTAAGCACACACTGGCCACTGGCAAGCCTACATTAGAGTGAGGGACAAATCAGACTGTGGACACCACAGGGTGTGAAGGGCACACAGCACCCAGAGACAAGAGGCCTGTACTCAGAATGCCCACTTAGAAAGGGAGGGATTGCATTCACAGTACCCACGAGGGGGATTACTGGGTTCACAGCACCTAGAGGAAGGGCTGCACTCGCAGTACCCACTGAGACAGGCCTTCACTCACTCGTACTGACTGGTGTAGATGAACTTCATCAGGATCAGCTCCTGCATGTGCTCATGGAAGATGTCCTCCAGCGTGCGGCCCCACTCCTCCCTCAGCCAGGTCCGGAACTCCTTCCCAGAGACCGAGAGCACAAAGTCACCGACTGGGGCAGAGAGGCTGCTACTCTGAGTCAAGGTGCACAGGCTCCACCCATCCACACCTACGGGGCTTCGGTGTAGATGAACTTCATCAGGATCAGCTCCTGCATGTGCTCATGGAAGATGTCCTCCAGCGTGCGGCCCCACTCCTCCCTCAGCCAGGTCCGGAACTCCTTCCCAGAGACCGAGAGCACAAAGTCACCGACTGGGGCAGAGAGGTTGCTACTCTGAGTCAAGGTGCACAGGCTCCACCCATCCACGCCTACGGGGCTTTGGTGGGCAGGTTAGAAGAGCAGGAGCCGGTGTACGCCTGGCTCGGGGTCTGAGGTGTCCCACCTGTGAAGGGCACAGGCCCAGGCCTCACCTTCCCATGCAGGCTTGGACTCCCAAGGGAGCAGAGGCTGTGGGTGTCACTGTGCCCACCCCTGGGCCCCTGGAAGAGCTGAGGCCCAGCAGGACACCTGTCACAGCCGCTGTTGACCTAGCTGGCCAGGCCACTGTCTGTGGCTACCAATGAGGAACATGGGAGGACCTGGCTGGAAAACTAAGTGGATTCTCCCTTCCCATGGTGCTTTCAATTTCCTCAACATGGGAATTTGTAAACACCATATCTGGGAGGCGCCATAACTCACTCCGCATTCTGCTACCCAGTCACACTCAGAATAGCTCATGCTCAATGGCTTGATTCTATACAATTAACAATTTACACAACCACTGGCTTCCTTACTGAACAGGTGGTTCCAGTGCATAGCATTAGCTCCACACAAGGAGGCCAAAGAATTTACAAGTAAAGCTACAATCACGGGTTAGGTGGCTTTACACAGCAAAGCTCAAGAAAGAGCTGGAGTCACCACAGAGCCTGAAGGAAGGCAGAGCCACAGGGACAGGGCCAAGACCCAGAGCCACAGGGACAGGGCCAACACCCAGAGCCACAGGGACAGAATCAACACCCAGAGCCACAGGGACAGAATCAACACCCAGAGCCACAGGGACAGGGCCAACACCCAGAGCCACAGGGACAGAATCAACACCCAGAGCCTCAGGGACAGAATCAACACCCAGAGCCACAGGGACAGAATCAATACCCAGAGCCACAGGGACAGGGCCAACACCCAGAGCCACAGGGACAGAGCCACAGGGACAGGGCCAACACCCAGAGCCACAGGGACAGAATCAACACCAGCAAAGAATGAACAGAAACGCTTATGTTTCCTTCACAGCATCCTTAACAAAACGGAGGCTGAAGACACACGCCTCAGTCCACAGGACCCCACTCTTCAAATCAGAACAAAGCTGAGAGCAACGCCTGAAAGACAGTCTCACACACACTGTCTACAACCAACACAGGGCCTACACCCTGCTAAGAACAGACTCCTACCACCTGCCCTCGGGTCCAACGGTCCCACAACCCATCCCCCAATCACCGGAGCCCATACTGGAGCTCTCCATAAATGCAAAGAACCCCACAGCAATGGTGCTGTGAAAACTGGACACCTGTCTCCCTTACGCCATCACAAGTGGCAGCTCAGCAGAGGCCACAAACATGCCATAGAGCCAATATTCGAGAAAGGGCACGACAACACCAAGAGAAGGTGACCAGGACTGTATTTTAAAGATGGCACACCCCTTTATCTCTATGAGTTCAAGGCCAACCTGGTCTACATAGTAAGTTCCAAGCCAACTGGGGCTACAGGGAGACCCTGACTCAAAAAGACAAAAAAATAATAATAAAGGGAGGGGGGCTCTCTGCAAACTGGGGGTCAAAGCTTTTTAGAGCATAACAAAGAAAAATATTTAAAAATTAGACTTCATCAAAATTAAGCTTCTCATTACAGTTGCTGAACGTTGGAGAAAAAAGAGTTTTAATCAAATAGGGGCTGGAGAGATGCTCAGCAGTCAAGAGCACTGGCTTGGTTCCCAGCACCCACATGGTGGTTCACAACCATCTGTAACTCCAAATTCAGGGTATCTCATGTCCCCTTCTAGCCTCCATGGGCATTGCACACAGGTGGTGCACATACATTCATGCAGGCACGCACATATACATACACATAAAAATTATACTTAAAAAAACAAAACCCAGTACATAACAAATGAACAGAGACTTCATCAGCACCTTGCTGGGCAGACTACAGCTAAATAATGCCCAGGGGCCGCCCTAGTTAGAGTCAGAACGTCAAGGTGCATGAACCGGTCGTCATTAGGATAACCACCTGCCATCCCAGTAGGATAGCCCCACTGTACAAGGATAATACAAGGGCCTGGAACCAGAGCACGGGAGGGACTTCCTATCTGTCCAGGGGACACACTGTGCCTAACACTCCAGCGGAAATCACCATAGTACATTCCTGAAAGCCCTGGGAGATGGCCACAGTGAGGTGCCTGTATGCTGTGTATGGCTGTACTCCCTCCTCCCCCACCTCTGCTCCCAAGGCCCTCCCATCTCCAAAGGCCTCCATGCAGGGAGGGGGTGGGCAGCTAGGAGGTGGGAAGGAAGGTACTGGTGTGCTGCTGTAGAGAAAGACCGGGCCGTGTCTGTGGACCTGGCTGGAGACAGCTGTCTGGGACTGGGAGATGGCCACAGTGAGGTGCCTGTATGCTGTGTATGGCTGTACTCCCTCCTCCCCCACCTCTGCTCCCAAGGCCCTCCCATCTCCAAAGGCCTCCATGCAGGAAGGGGGTGGGCAGCTAGGAGGTGGGAAGGAAGCTGCTGTAGAGAAAGGCCAGGCCGTGTCTGTGGACCTGGTTGGAGACAGCTGTCTGGGATGTGCCTGGGGATCTGTATTTGTTACCAGGGTCCAGGGCTGAGGAAATCCAGAGCTTTCAGACAAAGGACACCATCTCTGGCCTCACTCCTAACAAGAGTCGTCAGCAATCTCCAGCAAAGCACCTGCTCCCCGTAAGAGGCAGTGTTTTCTACCAGGGGCGTAGGCAACTACATTCGTAATCAGGAAAAATCCTCCCTTTCAACACCAAGGGGTACCGCCTCTGACCCGGCCCCATCCCCCTGCACACTACCAGAAACAACTTGACTTTCAGTGCTAGGTCTCAAGACGCAAAGCACACCACCAACAGCTCACGGGCCCTCACGTTAGGAAGCACAGCCCGTGCATCATGACTCCCCATGCCACATCTCTGCTAACAGGAACCACTGCACACTGACAGCCCAGAAAAGCTGTGCTCTGACAAATACCCTGCACTGGGCAAGGTCAAGTTCTTTAAAATGGAAATCTCGGAGCAACATAAAAGCACTTGTGCAATGAGCAGGACACTCCGCACATAGCCTCCCTGCACACTACAGTCTAGAAACCCGGCCACGGGTCCACTGAGAGGGAGAAGACAAGAGCCCCAGGTGCCCCTGGGGCTTCCCTGAATCACACACAGAGACACAGCTTTCAAATAGCCTCCTGGCAAGTGTGGAGGAGAGCCAAAGGATCAACTTTGGGCTGCCTTGGGGCCACAGCACGGCTTCTGAAAGGTGACCTGACGCAGGGGCTGCTGCCGGTCCTAGCTCTCGACTTCAGGCAGTGCCACCTCACACACCTCCACTTTACCCAGCAGGGAGGCCAGGCCAGCACCATGAGATCGGAGGACTGGGCATGCATGTGTCTTCCACAGCCTCCCTCTCACACTGGGACTCACCTCCTGCCTCCCACCCGACATCCTGTGGTGGTCCGTCTGGTTGCACTTGGTAGAGAATTCGTCCTTCTTCACGATCTTCAGAGCCACCAGAAAGGAAAGGACAGGGAGGCCAGCGAGTGAGTCCCGACACAGCACAGGACAAGGACGAGGAGAATGGCACAGCCCAGTGTCCACCCCACAAGGCAGGACGGTACGTACAGCTACCACCACCCTCTCCACCAAACCCACTGAGGTTCAAGACATGTCAAGTCTGATCTACTTGGAAGGCTGAGGCAGAGATACGCCTGAGCTTCAAGAGTGAACTCCAGGCCAGGCAACTTGGTTGGACTCTGACTCAAAACCAGAGGAGGGCTAGGTGGAAAACTCAGCGGCCGAGTGCCAAGTGCTTCTGGCATGCTTAAGTCTAAGAATCAACAGACCTGCAACAAGGTTTTAAAGGATGTGGGGTGGGCAGAGCCAGCTCAGCAGGTGAAATGCAAGGTCCTGATTTCAGATCCCCAGGAAAAATCTGGGCATGCTGGTGTGTGCCTGTAATCCGAGCCAAGGACATGGCGACAGGTGATGCCCTGGAGCTTGGCCAGTCCAGCCTAACCGCAAGGCTGAATTCCCAATGTGAGACCTTATCTCAAAAAACAAAGTGGGAGCTGGGTGCAGTGATACACGCCTTTAATCCCAGCAGAGGCAGAGGCAGAGGCAGGCAGATCTCTAGGAGACCAAGACCAACCTGGTCTACTGGCCTGAGTTCCAGGCCAGGTGGGGCTACAGGGAGACCTTGTCTCCAAAAGACCAAAAATAAAAACAAAACAAAAAAAACCCACACAAATCAAGGTGGCTGGCTCCTGATGAATGACACCTGAGGGGTCCTCCAGCTTCCACATGCACACACATGCCCACGCATGTATATGCACGCACACACACAAAATGAAATTTTTAATTTTTAGGCTATCTTTAAAAAAATAAAAAACCAAGATACATTTATAACAAGCCAGCTGTCCAAAAAAGAACTAAAACCCTGTCGTCTAGCATGTACACATCTAGCATGTGCGCCTCCAAACACAGGCATGGTGTCTCCCCCACCAGGCTTGGAGCAGTGATTATTGGAGCTGGCATTGGAGTGCGACATCTAACTCCTGCGAAAAGGAGGGAAAGACCTGAGCTTGCAGGGAAGGCAGAAAGTCTCCAAGCAAATGCGAAAATGCAGGGATTCCAGCAGTCTCCGTCACGCCAGGCCAGCGCCAACCACACTCAGTAAGGGGAGACCTGTCCCCTCTCTGCTGAGCTGGACGGGCTCAGCACACTTGTGACAGCCTGCAGCTAAGAGTGCGAGACACGTGCCGGCACCCGCAGGGATGGCGCACCATCTCTCGCTACATGTGTCAGTCACGCCCCAGGGGACCCAGCACTCCCCTACCTGGATGTGGCCACTGTGAGGTCCTTTGTGGCCGTACATACATTCCACCGTGGCTGACTGCCTTTCCATCAGGTGGATCCTAAACAGAGGCTTGAATCGCATGGGGTCACCAACATGGGGGTCGTGAGGAGGGAGGTACATCCAGCCGATGATGAACAGGCCGTCCACCTGCGGCCAGGAGACAGGGTTCATGCTGAGCATGCTCTTCCCCTCCTTCAAGCAGACAACCCTGATCTAGAGCAACAAATGACTACACACCCACAGCCAGTGTCCCACAAACATGAGCATGCAGCGTCAGCGTCCAGATGAGGCCCCTATGGACACTTGCACCTGTCATCAGTCAAGGACACCGTGAGAAGGCTAACAAACTGCTTAGAACAAATCTTTGCTCACTTGGAAAATAAAATCTGGCCCCAAAAAGTGACCCAACAAGAAAACCTTGTCAATCTTCTCTGCCAGACACAGAGAGGGGTGGCTCGTGCCCCACAGAAAGGCACTGACATTCTGGTGTGAGCACCTCCCTCTCCCGCGCCCCTGACAGCCGACCCCGCAGGAGGCTCCGACTCACCACCACATTCAGCAGTCCTCCATATGGCCCGATGTCTGGCTGCCACAGCCCCAAAATGTGTCTGTATCGATGAAGCACTGCAGAAGGAAAGAGCACGTTCACCAGCATGCTCCAGGGTAGGCAAGGAGACCACCTCCACCGTGGCCCACTGTAGTGGGTCACCAAGGCCATTGCCTCCACACAGGTGCTGCTCAGACAGTGGATAAGTCAGGGTGTTCCTGCAGGCCCTGGCTGTCCGTGCACAGTGGTGGTGGTGTGCACAGTCTTTGCAAGCTGAGGAAGTCACAGAAGCCTTCTGAGAACTGCTCACACTCAGGTCAACCAGGCAGGACCACAAAGGCCGAGTGGCCACCTTGATCTGAGGTGGAGAGGGAGGAACAGCCCGGTCTTTGAAGTACATAGCCTGTTAAGAGAATTGTCACCACCCCAGGTCCAGCCCATGACCATCACAAGGGGTTAGAACAACAAGATGTCGGTCATCCGCCCAGGCTCAAACTCCAGGCCTCTAGAGTCCTGAGTCTATTTCTAAACACAGTGAGGCCAGCCCTGGCCTGATGGTCACAACTGGATGGGTCTGTTTGTCACAGGAATGGTAATACCAGCACCTCAGGAAATACAAGTGCTGAACTCGACAGGAAGAGCCTGGGGAGGCCAAGTGTAGAACACACTGATGCCTGCGTCTTACTCTGAATGCATCAAATGGCGGCCAGCACATCCTCTGAAGACCAGCTTAACCAATGCCAGGCTGGTTGGTTAGCCTGAGATGCCACTAAAAATTTCCAGAGAGCAGACCAGGTCACACAGGCTGGGGGCACACGGACCTACGGCCCTTAATTTCCGTAAGTGTGAAGCCTTCGTCTTAGACATTCACGCAGACAGGCAAACCAGCCTGATGAGCAGGCGACACACAGCAAGTGCATTCATCCCGCAGACATGAGCTGCCACCCCAGGAGAAGCAGGAAGCCGTGTGATGATGACCTTGCTAAGCCTGATAATGTGCGGCGGTTGGTCGGGTCTCACTGTGGGGCCCGTGCTGACCTGGAACACACTGAGTAGCTGGTGCTAGCCTTGAACTTCGTCAGTCCTCCTGCCTCATCCCAAGTGCTGGCATTACAGGCATGACCCACCACGCCCAGCTGGACCTCGATGTTTTTCCCAAGAATTGCCCCCTTGCACCTGCCTCTGAACTAACCCCAGGAAGAGCAGGCAGTGTCTGCGCCAGAGAAGGGGGTGCCGGGCTCATGGCAGAGCAGCCCGTGTCAACCCAGGGTCCAGAGAGACCATGAAGCGTGTGAGAAGAAATGAATGGGGATAACAAGTGCCCTTAACTCCAGCTCCAGGGGACTGACGCCCTTTTCTGGTCTCCAGGGGCACCAGGCACACACTTGGTGCACTTACATACATGGAGGCAAAACACTCATACACATAAAATAGAAATACCCATCACACACAGAAGAATCAGAGGGTGACTCCACCCTGTTTTTAGACTTTAGGATGCATCCCAATCACTGTAGGGGACACCGTTTGTGGCTCCACTGGGGGGGCTGCGGCACTGCAGGAGGTCCCCCACCAGACTCAACTGGGCAGTAAATAACCAGGGCTCACAGTGGCCATCCGGTTCCTGTCCCGACGTGGGCAGCCCTGCACGTCTCAGACCTCTAGAACATCAGACCTGCGTGAAGCTCTAAGCACTGGTCCATTGGTACCTCAACCCTCCAGGCCTTCAAAGCATCATGTGAGGCCAACAGTTTTCGTCGACTCTCCCAGCGCTGTCCCCTGAGCAGGGAAGGCTGCTTGGCCAGGACACGGTGTTCTGGAGACCTGTCTACCATCACGTGGGAAGCACCTCCATTCTGCAAAGTGCCCCCCTCCCAAGCTCAGCTCCGCATGGCTCCCATGCCTTGGTTCAGTCAGTTCACGTCTGTGCCCACTACATAAGCAAAGGTGTTCGCTAGCGGCTGTGCAAGGTGCCCACACTCCACCCAGAAGCATACCAGGCGAGCGTGAGCACCAGGAAGATGATGGTCACTCAGCAGCTTCTGCTTGACAGAAACTGGCCGTTTGTAAAACTTCACTATTTTGTTTTGAAGTCAGGACTGGCCTCAAACTCACCATGTAGCCGAGGCTGGCCTTGAACTCCTGATCCTCCTGCCCCTGTTTCCCAAGTTCTGGGAGGACAGGCAGGTCCACCACACCCAGCCAACTGTCTTTTTGACAACTGAAGTTCATTCACTCTGCCACCTCTACCCAACCACTCTTGTTCAAAGAGTAGACCAGCCACTATGGCTTACAAAGCCACCACAGCTCAGTCAGAAAAGGAATCCGTTCATCTTTACATTCTTGCCATCTTGCCAGCCCAAGAATCCGGTTCTGAAAGAGCAACTGTTGCTCCTGTATGTGACTACTGTGGGTGTGATGCTGGTGCTGTTTTTTTAAAAAATATTTTATTTATTATTTATGTGTATGAGTGTATTGTCTGCATGTATGTGAGTGCACCCGTGTCGTGCACTGCCGTGGAGGTCAGAAGAGGGCATCAGATCCCCTGGAACTGGAGTTAAGGACGGTTCATAGCCGCCATGTGGGTGCTGGGAATCAAAACCCAGGTCCTCTGCAAGAGCAGTCAGTGCTCTTAACCACTGAGCCATCTCTCCAGCCCTTGATTCTGGTTTTTTAAGTTCACGCTCTTCCAGTAGGACAGTGACTGACTGGTGAAGTTAAGACATTGGCCTACACTTCTTTTTGGTTATTTATGTTTAATTATATTTTTTGTCTTTTTGAGACAGGGTCTCCCCTGTAACCCCAGCTGGCCTGGCACTCACTATGTAGACCAGGCTGGCCTCAATCTCACAGAGATCTGCTTGCGTCTGCCTCCCGAGTGCTGGGATTAAAGGTGTGCGCCACCACGCTTGGCTGGTTGCTTTTTAATCTCATTTATGTGTATGTATACCCTGTGTGTGGGGTGCCCCTGGAGGACAGAAGAGGATGGATTTCCTGGGGTTGGAGGGACAGGCAGTTGTACACTGCCTGATGTGGGTGCTGGAACTGAACTTGGGTCCTCGCTCTGGGGCAGGCAGGACTCTTCAGTGGTTGAGCCACCTCTCCAGCTCGTTTTGTTTTTTGAAATATGTCTCACTTTGTGGTCCAAACTGGCCTGGAATTCACCATGTAGCCCAGGCTAACCTCAAACTCAGCAATCCTCCTGCCTTAGCCTCCTGAGTGCGGGATGGCAGGCCTGTATCCCTGTCTCATCTTAAACAGAGGAGCCTCGCGGCTTATGTCTGCCTTCTGCTCTCTGCCCTGCTTCAGTTTTTGCTGTCGCTTCCTCAGAGTTGGACAGTGAGATGTGTCTCACCCAGTGACTGACGGGCACTGCCCAAGGCCAGGAAGCTGTGGGAACCCCTGTGGACAGCACCCAGGCCGCCACTCAACGTGACCCATCACAGCAAACCACAAACCAGGACTGCAGCAGAGCAAAGGTGGCAAAGCCAGGTCAGCAGCGTCCCAGGACCGGCCATGAGCCCAGGTGCGCCATGCAGCGCCACGGCAGAAGCCACAGCAGCAGCGGTACGTACGGCAGGTGTACACGTCTCTGTACTCCATGTGCTCGTAATCGGGGAGGATTTTCATGAAGCGTCCCGACTTCACACGCGGGTTAATACCTGGACAGACAGGGCGGGGACAGGCTGAGGATGGTGCCCTTCCCACATGCACCCCCTCTGTCCTGCCCCCACATGCTGGGCGGCTGTGCCAGGAGGCTGTGCCAGGCTGGCCCTGATGGCTGTACAGCACACCTGAGGACTTGTTTCCCTGTTTGCTGCAGCTTACTGGGGCACAGAGGTGGGGTGCCCGGGGAGCTGGGCAGGGCCCTTCCGCAGGCACTGCTCTGGCACTGTGTGTTTTAAGGTGACATCACACCTGTCCCAGCTGAATCCAGGTTGACCAGCTCGGCCACCTGTTCGGAAACTCGGATGGACTCTGTTCAGCCCTCCATCCCCGGGCTTAGGAGTGTTCACAGACTGTCAAAGTGCAGCTCCAGCACTGTGATTGACACATTGGCCAGTGCAGCACCCCCAGAGCTGGAAACCGGGCTGGAAGGCCTGGCCCTGCACCTGCAAATACAGCCAGGGAGTCCAGACAAGCACCCAGTTGTCCCTGCTTCCCTGTGCACCCCGCCCTCACGTCAGTTCCCAGGCCTGTGTCCAGGTGGGTTTTCCCACAGGTCAGCAAGACACAGCTGAGGTGCTGCATCCTGGAGCGCTCCGTTGGCCATCATGGGACATTCTGATACCTGGGCAGTGCCCATACCCGCATCCCTGCCAGGATGAGACTTGCTGCTCGCCGCTCTGGAAGAGCAACCTGAGCTGGCTGGTTTGCAACAGGAGGTCAGGAGGCCACACTCAACAGTCAGAGGAGACACACCACCCAAGGCACCCACGACAACCACATGACCACAGACTGGGAAGTGGACTCCGTGGGCTCTGAGAGGCCATCTGGAGACGGGAAGGCTGCACTGGGAAGGTCAGGAGACTTTGGAAAGCAAAGGAGCTGGTGAAATAGGAGAGGGGGAAGAGCTGCCGAGAGGGTGGAGCACGGTGGGCAGGCAGCTGAGGAAGCCAGCAGAAAACTCCATTCCCAACTCCCACATGCCATCTACATCCACCAGGCTGCAGGCCCAACTCAACTCAGAAACACAGGCCATTCCTATCCAGTCCACGTTGCTGGGCTCCAAAGGGCCATGCAAACAGGACAGGCTGTCGTGGACAGCAGGTAGAACAAGTGCACCACAGCACAGTGGACACTACAGCTAACCCTGTTCACTTTGAACAGAAGGGAGGACGGCAAGTTCCCAACACCAGGAATCCACTGGAGGTGACAGACACGTCAATCACCCAACCTGGTCAGTACATGTAGCACACACAGACCAGGGTCACACTGTACCCGACAAACGCATATGGTTATTATGCACCTGTTAAAACAGAGCATACAAGAGCTGGGTGTAGTTGCGCACACCTTTAATCCCAGCACTCAGGAGGCAGAGGCAGGCGGATCTCTGTGAGTTCAAGGCCAGCCTGGTCTACATAGTGAGTTCCAGGCCAGCTGGGGCTACAGGGAGACGCTGACTCAAAAAGACCAAAACCAACCAAACAAACAAAAAAACAGAGATAGGAGCCGGGCACTGAACCCTCAACACCACCAAAAAAAATATACATTAAGTAAAAACACAGGTCCCAGATGTCTCACAGAAGATGCCTTTAGCCACAATGAACTAAAAGTGAGGTCACTGATGTGCCCAGGACGGGAGAGAGCAGCACCTGAAGGCAGCCGAGGCGGCCAGGGTTGTGTCAGTGTTACTGGGCGGTAGCGTCTGAGAAAACACAGCAGCATCCCCCAAACTGTCTTCGCCCACCTGGCACTGGGGGTTTCTAGAACAAGGCAAGGACAGATAAAACAGAGACTGACTCACGCTTGGCATAAACGTCGCGACATGACACGCCCGTGATCTCCAGCTTCCGCAGGTTCTCACAGACACCGTACTCTGCAACAAGAGAACACACCAGACTGAAATCAAGAAATCACAGAGCAGCTGGATAACGCCAGCAAGCAGGGCAGGGCAGGGCAGGGAGGCCAGGCAGGATGGGTGGGGAGGACGGGCGGGAAGGCCGGGCAGGATAGGTGGGGAGGACGGGCAGGGAGGCCGGGCAGGGAGGCCGGGGAGGATGGGTGGGGAGGACGGGCAGGGAGGCCGGGAAAGATGGGTGGAGAGGACGAGCGGGGAGGCTGGGCAGGGAGGCCGGGGAGGATGGGTGGGGAGGACGGGCAGGGAGGCCGGAGAGGATGGGCGGGGAGGCCGGGCAGGGAGGCTGGGAAAGATGGGTGGGGAGGCCGGGCGGGGAGGCTAGGCAGGGAGGCCGGGGAGGATGGGTGGGGAGGATGGGCAGGAGCCCCCACCCCACCCTGCACACCAACCATTCTGACACAGTTCTGCAGCCCAGCTACACAAATGAGACAAGCTGCTCGGTGGTCTGGAAACAGTGGCTGTTTCCATGAATAATGCTACAGTTCCAGAGGCCCACCTGACCCACAGCATGGCTCACCTTAGCTCTGGCCTGCCACCAGGAACCTGCCAGACCTGGTGAGGAGTGGGACATGCCCTGCCCCTTTCGTCAAGATGCCCTGGTCCCACCATGGGAAATGTAAACGACACGTACTACCCTTTCTACCAAAGGGTTAAATAGACAAAGTTCCATCTTCAAAGAAATCTGGAAAAGACACCACCCAGCTCCCTCCTCAGTCAGTAGTCCTCTAAGACCAAAGTGTGAGCTCACTGCTGTGCTGTGCTGAAGACTGCGTCCTGGCCTCCACAGTTGCATTTTGCAGGGCTGGAGAGACGGCTCAGTGGTTAAGAGCACTGGCTGCTCTTACACAGGACCCAGGTTCGAGTCCTAGCACCCACATGGCAGCTGACAACCTATCCGTAACTCCAGTTCCAGGGGATCTGACGCCCTCTTCTGGCCTCCAAGGGCATTGCATGCACATGGTGCACTTAACATACACGCAGGCAAAACACCCACATACATAAAAATAAATTAAAGTTGCATTTTGTTCATCAACTGTGCCCCTTTAAGTTAGCTTTAAGTTAGCTAATTGAATCAGAACGTGAGGCCAAGCTCCCCCACCACTCAGAGTGAGGCACAGGACCCCTTGCTAGGAATAAAACCCAGCGGGACCCAATGGGTATGCTTGCCAGCTTGATGGGGCAGCAGGGCTGCACACCTTTCTGCCAAAGTAAAACTTTTGCCTTGCCAAAATCCGTGGATTGTGTGGTCATTTCCTTGAGACCTCCAGACCCAGTTCTAACATCACAGCCAGTGAAGGGTCCTCGGCACCCTCCCCATCCTCCCACCCAGATGACAGCATGTGTCTCCTGATCGCTGCCCCATGCCATCTACCCCAGCTCCACTCCACCCCAACACACTCCAGCCAAAAGCCAGCCCTCTACCTCAGGCCTCACGTGGTGGAGGCAATGTCACTGCACCAGTCCTCACCAGAGCTGCCCACAGCCCAGCAGCCCCTGCCCACAGTACACAACTCACCAGTACACCCAGCCAGGCCCCATTGCATTTAGTCCTGCCCAGGAGAAGCCCACGCCATCTCCATCAGCAGAGGTTGGAGGTGCAGAGGTGTGACCTGCACATTGAGAACCTGGGCCTGCAGGGGTCAGAGGCCAGGACTAAAGTTGGGAGCACAGTTCCCCTTGACATGCACACAGCATGAGAATGAGCAGGGGGCTGCTCAAAGACAGTCACAGCTCACACCTGCAATGTTCATACACCTACAGTGTTCAAAGTGACCTGCCAGGTCAGGACTCAGGCCCTGTGGCAGGGATAGACACCAGTCATCTGGAATGGGACTCGATATAGCCCGGTGGGAGGCTCCAATGTTGTACCCTAATGCATCACTCTGACAGTCCCCAGTGGCTGACCTCCCCCCAGTGAGAGATGCTACCAGCCCCATACTCAGGAAATGGGTGAGATCCCACCAGTGCTCAGGGGAGTCAAGATGCAGGCAGCATGGAGGTTCTGATATGTTCCCTCCCTCTGCCCCAGGCCCCAGAGAGCCACAGCTCTTCTCAGTAGTGTTTGGCTATCACCTCCAGGGAGAAGATCCAGGCAAGGTCCTCAGCACCACAAAAAGAGAGGGAGGGATGGAAGGAGGGAGGGAGAGATTACTGAGGATTAAGCTTGGCACACTGTGTTACTCTAGGGTTGCTCTTCCTGGCTCCAAGGTTTAGGAATGGCGTGCACTGCACACCTGGGTGCATCCGTGAACTTATTTCTATCAGCAAACCACAGGGTCAGACCAGCTCACCCCCACAGACCCTCCTCCCTCTCAGCAATTTTAGCTGGAAGAAAAGGAAGTCCATCAGCAAATGTGCGGAAGAAAGAGGAAGTGGGCAGACCTAATGGGAGAGAGGGCAGGACCTCAGGCTGGCTAGGCTCAGGCTGTGGGCATCCCAGCTGGGCAGGAGCTGGCAGCCACCCTGGTTCACCTCCCACAGCCCCATTAAAACCTTATCTCAGATGCTGATCCAGCAGAATGTCTCTGGAATGATTGTCAAGTCAGCTGAGGAAGAGGGGGCTGAGACAGCAGCGTGACCCAGGCCTAGTGCCATGGGCTTGACCTCCAGGAACACCTTCCTCCACTCTGCCAAGAAGAACCTGTTCTGACTGCGGGGCACGGCTGGGCTGACTGACTGTGGAGCACGGCCAGAGTCAGAGTGCTCCAATGCCCAATCACCACTGCACAGAGAAGGCTGGGGGACACTTAAATGCCCACCTGACTGTCACAGGAAGCACTGTGCAAGGCTGTAGTCCTTGATAATGAAGCACGATCAATCAGATTCAATGCATCAACTCGGTTAACCTCGGAGAGGAAATTTGACCACTAACATAATTTTAAAATTTCTATTTATTTTTATTTTATGTGTATGAGTGTTTTACATGCCATGTATGTAAGTGCAGCATGTGCCTGCAATGCCAGAGGAAGGTGTTAGATCCTGAGACTGGAGTTATGGATGGTTGTTGGTCATCATGTGGGGTGCTGGGAACTGAACCTGGGTCTTCCTCAAGAACAGTCAATGCTCTTAACCACTGAGTCATCTCTCTAGCCCCCACTAATACAATTTTAAGTCTGCAAATTAAACACAGGACTTCTTATCATGGGCTGGGAATGGTGCTTAGTGGTAAAGCCCTTGTCTTACATGCATAAGGCCCTGTGTCCCTTCCTCAGCACTGGGGTTAAAAAAAACACAGAGCCAGGCGGATCTCTGTGAGTTCAAGACCAGCCTGGTCTACATAGTAAGTGCCAGGCCAGGTGGGGCTACAGGGAGACCCTGTCTCCAAAACAAAACAAGAGTTAGGTTAGAACTAAGGCGAGGAACACATCCCTGACTCAGTGAAAGCCATTGTCCCACTCACCACTCACTAGACCTGTGCAGCTGGGTGAGAGGCTGGGCCTGTGCAGCAATCACTGGTCACGCCCAGACCAAGAGTACCCATGCAGGTGTCTCCTGACACCCCATGCAGCCATGCAGTCACAGTGAGAGTCGGGGAACTACTCCACACATCACATGGTGACTGCCCAGCTACACCAGGGCCGGCGTCACAGGCGGTCTTCCTGTGCTCCACACCACAGCTTCCCTTTGCTCACATGCTGAGGGCCCTGACTCGGTTCACGGTTTTTCCTGTGGCCAAGCTCGACAGAAACCCACAGAACGGAGAACAGCGAGTCCTTGAGGCAGTGCTAACGCTCACCACTGTGGGTTTTCCAATATTCCCAGAGGCACCAGGACCCACTAGAAACAGCCAGGTCCTCTACAGGACCGAACATCCCTTCTGACAGCGCCAAGAACAAGCCACATCCTGGAGTTGTTCTGCGACCTTCCTGTAAGTCCTCAAAGGAAGCTGCCCTGAAAATAGGTCCGGCCGGTGCCCCTGCCAGCAGCTGGGGGGTCCCTCCCCTCCAGAAAAGCCAACAAGTGCCCACTCTGCCTTCTGCACTGAGCTCAGCAGATAGCTAGCACGCCGGCTTGGTTTTTTGTTCGTTTTTTTGTGGTGCTGGAGATGGAACCCAGGCCCCCGAGCCGTGTTTCCAGGTCCACAGTGTGCCTTAGCAATGGACTTAGTGTGGCAGGTCAGCGACTGAAACGGTTCCTCTTAACCTGACTACAGTGGCCAATGCAATTCTTTCTCAGAAGTGTCCACTCCACAGTCCACAGACAGCAGAGTACACAGGAAAGCTGGGGGGGGGGGGGGTTACAGACCAAAGGTTGCCCTGTGCGAACAGTATGAGCCCCTCAGGCTTGCCAGAGGACACATCAGGTCAGCTGCTGGGCGAAGGCCCAAGGAACTGAAAGTGGGTCTCCAGAGGAATCCCTCACAACACCCAGAGCTGGGGATGCTGCAAGTGTCCAAGGAGGGGCACAGTCACTTCAAGGCTCCACTCACCCAGACTCCCTAGAGCAGTCCCATTCACAGTGACCTCACACTGGCCATCCTCCTGCCTGGGCCTCCTGATTACAGGCACACGCCACTACATCCAGCTGTTACATATATTTTTATTCCAATAAAAAAACTGTCACTTCAAATACTACAAATTTTTTTTGTCTCTTTTGAGACAAGGTCTCCCTGTAGCCCCAGCTGGCCTTAAACTCACAAAGATCCGCCTGCCTCTGCCTCCCAAGTGCTGTGATTAAAGGCGTGCGCCACCATGTCCGGCTAGATTTTTTTTTTAAATAGAAAGTTAGGCATGGTGGCAGCACAGGCCTGTAAACCCATGTTCTAGAGGTTGAGGCAAGAGGGTCACCCATGAATCTGAGGCCACATGGACTATACAATGAGTTCCAGGCCAGCCTAGGCTACAGAAAACACACATACACACACACACACACAGACCCCAAAGGGGGACAAGTTTAAAGGGGAAAAAGACTGAGAAAATTTACCCCAAAAAAAATTTTTAAAGACTTCTTTCTGTCAGGGGCTGGAGAGATGGCTCAGTGGTT